ACCCCTGGAGATGGCATGTGAGTTAGGATTTATTGAAAAATATGGAAAGGTCCGGATAGCACCAGCATCCCTCATGATGCCACTCCAGAAAGTCCAGTGGTGACACGTCGGACAAATAGCACCTTTGCTGTCATGGTGAATGCCAGAAATAGTGCTTCCATCCCTGATGGCACCCTGTCGAGTGGTGTGCAGCTGGACAAGTGTTACTCATCCTGTACAGTGTCCTCAACTCCACACGAGTGACCACAGGGGTGGGGTTTTATAAGCTAGGCTACAGGAGCAGTGATGTCATCAGTTTGCTTTGTTCCCTGTGTGAGCAGCAGTCCTGCTATGTGAGCAAGAGAGCAGCTTTCTGCAGACAGCACAATTTGCCCTCGTTCCCAGCACACGTGAGCAAGCCAGTGTCTTTCAAGATAATATTTATCTGGAAAACTGCACCAGGCTTGCTTTCACCATCCCCTTAACAGAGGTGGGGATGGGGTTTTACTGTCCTCCTTTTCTTGAGAGACGGCTTACTGACTTTAGAGATCTGACTAAATAAATTCTCTCATTTTAGTTGAGGAGACACATTCAGAAAGGTAAAGCCACCAGTACCAGCAAGTCAGCAAGACCTTGTCTCAAACTAAAATATAAAAAGGGCTGGGGATGTGGCTCAGTGGTAAATTGCCCCTGGCTTAGATCCCCTGTACTAAAAAGAAAGGTAAAGCCACCTACTTATGGATACATATTAAATGATACGAGGAAGACTGAAAACCAGCTCTCCCAATCCAAACTGACACCCCCGCCCCCCGAACCTGTGAGTCCCAACTTATCAACAGCAGGACATTAGTTCAGGGGATTAATATCCCATTTGGTCACTCCTATGTGCAAGCCAAAAAAGTTGACGTCACAGAAGTGCCAAGTAGAAGAGTAGTCACTAGAGTTGAGGAAGGGAGCAGGGAAGAGAGGGCTTGGACAGAACACCAGATTACTCTGTAGCCAGTAGGACGACGATTCTTCACAACTTACTATGCATTTTATAAAGAATTAGAAGGGAGGATCGCCAAGGTTCCCATCATAAAGAAATGGATAAATTGTTAATTATCCTGATTTGATTATTGCACATTATATGCATGAGTCAGATTATGCTGAATCCCATATATGTACAATTATTATGCAATTAAATAAATAAAAAAAAAACAAAACACAAGTCTTGAGAAGCTCCGGAATTTCTGGATCACCTTACAATTAAAGACCAGTGTTGGGGAGGGTGTACTCCATACTGTTAGTGGAATGTGGGTGGCGCAGCTTTGAGGGCCATTTGTCAGGACCCTATAGACACATGCATTGTAAGAGTCTTGAAGGCAATACATTAATCCGCTAACAGTGATTACCTCCTCTGCAAGGAGAGAGAGTGGGTGGTAAAAAGAAATTTTTGATTTGTGCCTTGTTTATACTTTTCTACTGGGAATTTGTTAACATAGTTTTAAAGGATATTTTTTATTTCCATGGATATCTGAGTGACACATCTGGTGACCATCTTTTCGCAGTGAATTAGCAGTTAGGAAACAAGGTACTTCTAATCCTTAGTCACTGTTTTCTATGCTTGCTTTTATTGTCATTACTGGTTTTCATCACTTACCAATAAGGACTTGCTTGTCCTGGGTATTTCACATTATCTCACTGTTGCAATTTTCTCTAATTCGGTCTTGAGGTCTCCCTCAAAGGAGAGTGGCTAAACCCCAGCCCAGGCCTCAGCGGCCCACAGAGGTGCCTGTAGATTTTTGCTGTGCCCTTCACAGGACAGCCCGGTGCCTGACTGTCTGGACTGGTTTAGATCTGGAATGTCCCTGAAGGCCCAACTACTGAAGGCCTGCGCTTCTGGGAAGTGGTGGAACCTTTAGGAGATGTGCCCTAATGAAGGAAGTGAGGTCACTGAGGGTGACAGGAAGGCGGACAGTGGGGCCCATGCGGTGAGCAGTGTCCTCTGCCATGTGCTTCCACCATAATGACATCTTGTCACAGGCCCAAAACAGTGGAGAAGGACCATGGACAAAAACCCTCAAAACGATGAGACAAAGTCAATCTTTCCTTTTTTAAAGTTTTAAGGCATTTTGTCATAGCAACCAAGAGCTGACCAGTAGTGTCCAAACCGTGACCAAGCGTCCCTCTCCCAGGCATCCTACAGCTCTTGTCTGACCTGCTAGGATTCCTTCCATGAGACTTGGTCTCTAGGAGAGCCCTGACTGGGCAGAGGGACACTCTGTTGTGTCCATCTAGTCCCCACAGGTGAGGCACAGGTGCAGCACAGCCACAGGAGAAATTAGAAGCACTTTATTACTTATAGGTCCACAAGACAAGAGGGGTGACTATGGGGCCAGTGTGAAATGCAGAGTCTACAGGGTGCTCAACCAGTGACGGGGAGCAAGAAAGCAAAGGAGCCACCAATCAGAGGCCCTCAAGGGACCTACTTAGGTAAATGTACTGGACCCCGTTAGGCCCAAAGGTCCTTTGCTCTTACTCCCAAGCACTGGCTGAGCACCCTGCAGTCTGGATTTCTCACTGGCCCTTGTGCTCAGCCTCTTCTCTTGTGGACCTGTGAGTAATAAAGTGCTTCTCATTTCTCCCATGGCTGTGCTCCCTCCTCCATGCCTCACCTGCCAGGTATACCCGAAGAGAGCCGCAAAGAGCTCGCTTAGAGAGCGGCTCTCAATCCGTCCCTGACACCACTCCCATCAGACACATGGCCGAGCACGGAGCTGCCCACGCTGTGCCTATTCCTCTTGTGGCTAAAGTCTGCTACAGGAGCTGCAGGCAGCAAAAGATGTTTCAGTCACCCACCTTTAACTGAGGACAAATGAAAGGTTTGCTTCCCTAGTTCACCTTGTGAGCCAGGGCTTTCCACGGAGACCCAAGGCAGCGGGGACAGTGGACACTCTGCTGTGTCCACCTAGTCCCCACAGGAAGAACATGTACCCCAGAACCAAGAACTAGATTTGAATTCCAGCCCCACTTATTCTTTGGGTCTTGGTGACCTTGGGAAAGTCTTATAAGCTCCTTGGGCCTACTTCCCCATCTTTAAAGTTTATTAAAAGTATTTTATTAAGAGCATTATTTTCTTAAAAGCATTATTTTCTTAAACGTATTAAAATGCATTATTAAAGTATTGCTTCATTGTGAGGCAGAATGCCAAGGTCGTTGTGAATTATGCCTGCCCGGTTCCCAAGCCCAGATCTCTGGGACTCCTGGGGATTCCACGAGCCAGGTGAGTCACATCTGATGCTGGCGTATGTTTCCTCCTGTAACTTGATGGAGGCATAAAGCTTCCCACTAATCTGCAAGCCCAGGTGGCACCTTGTGGGGTGACTGTGCTGGGCGGCAGGACTTCCTTGCCCTTGGGCTGGCTATCTTCTGGTGTCACTGACAGCTGAGAATTTTGTCCCTGCCTCTGCAAAAGGCAAGAAATACCAACGCTGTCTGAGCCACTCACATTCAGATGTCTGCTTCCACATCAGCCTCCCTGCTGGTCCTGACGCCTGACGCTCTCTGCTGGAGCCTGCACACCCCACTTTCCAGATGGCCTGCTGCAGGGGCATGCAGTTTCACGTTGGCGAAGAGCGCCAGAATCTTGATAGGACGTCAAGTCTTTGGGCTTCACTTACCAGCGAACATCTAGTTTCCATCGACCTGAGGGTGACAGATTCACGTGGGGCGAGCTCCTTGTTCTGTGCTGCAGGACATCCTTTGCTGCTGAGTTCTAAATGGACCTCTCAGCGAGCAGCTCGTCCAGTGAGATGCACTTCAGAATGTGGCTCTTTCTACTGTAATGTTTTGTTAAGACACAGGCAACTGAAAAACACAACAGGATATTACTGAAGATGTGCATCATCCACAAAATGCCAAGGAAACCATGACCTGTTTGTGTTTTTTATACAAAGTACTAGCAATGGAACCCACAGGCCCTCCATTTTTGAGATGGGGCCTTGCTAAGTTCCCCAGGCTGGCCTGAAACCTGTGATTCTCCTGCTCAGCCTCCTGCCCTGTTCAGTTATTTACTTTTGGAACTTTTGACTATTTGCCAGGAAAGAATGCCTCTCTTTCAGACGATCTTCCTGTTTTCCCGACATCCCGGTTATTAGCTGTCCACAAGGTCGGTCTCCCTTGAGCCTGAATTCCACTTCTCAAGTCTGTTCTCTCAGTCCATCTCAGGGGTGCTTGTATGCCCTTGGGGACAAGCACAAGGAGACCTAGCCATTAGGGCTTTGGTGTTATGTCCTCTGAGTAGTAAGGGCAGCATTTGGGGAATCAGCAAATTAAAGCCTTAGTCTGCAGTGGACAACTCCACAACTGAACCAGTGTGGTTAGACAATGTTTTTTTATAAGAGATGTTGTATGATTTTGTGTACACAGCACACAATGTTTAACACATTTTATGTATATAAGTATACAAATACACTTAGGGAAAACCACCAGACTATTTCTCCAAAAGACTAACATAGTCAATAAAATAAAATAAAATACAAGGGGCACAAATTCATAGCCCTTAGAATTTAAACAGAATGGAAAGACATTTATTTTTTATGAAACCTTAGCGGGGATATGCCCCAAAGATGATCTGGCCTCAATAAAGGGCCAATTTTTTCTGTACCTAAAATGACCCAAGCAAGTCATCAGACTTGATTGTCAATAGAGGAAATGGTGATCACTTGTGCTATAGAGCTTCTGATAAAAGCAGCAGCTCCAGTCTCCAAAGGAATTGTTCATAACACACCTTAGCAAAATGGGTCCACCATAGTGTATGTTTGAGAACACATACAAAGAACACACTGAATGCAAATAGAAAATTAGTGAAGCTATAAGCCACTTACAAATACATAAGAGAGAACTGTCCCCATACAAAAGGATTCACAATCTGAAATGGCCACGTAAAATGGCAAATAGTGTTAAGGGTAACATTGTAAACCAACTCAAATATGGGGGAAAATATGTACTATACAACAAAGTTTTTGAAGATTTTTCTTTTAGGTAAGATTTGTAGAAAACCCAGGGACAGATTTTATGTCAGAAAATGGTCCATATCGCCCAAAAATGTCTTTCGACTGGATAGTAAAATAATACTTGTCGGAAGTCAATAACTGAGATAGAGTACAGGCCATTGGGAGTGGAAAAGCTTTGATTCCTCCAATTTTCTTCCAAATCAATTTGGTAGTTGAGTTCTCGTGGCCCAGGAAGAGGTGGTAGCTCTCCACAGGAGCACACCTAGGGTTGACCTCGCTGATGTTCCAAGTCAGGGCGATGCCCATGGGTCTCAGCACACGCTTCACTTTGAGCTCTGGCTTCTGGGGAGGGAGTGTGTCCTGGATTTTGTCCACCAGTTCAGGGAGTAGTGGTGGTGGTTCTGGGAGAGGTGGCAGGTGCTCAAAGGAATCAAAATCCTAAAAGCATATTTGTAAAAAAGTTTAGCAAGCCAGTTGGCTGGGAACTGACTATTTTAAAGTGGTCTACTGCAGCTGTTCAAATATATATTTCCCATTCTTCACTCCTTTTATCGAAATAACAAACAGGATATTTCAAGAATATGTGAGGCTAAATCCAGTCTTTTTAAGCATGAGGCTCTTTTGCAGTTAAGATGTCTACATTCTGGAATATCACTGATCCAGAATGGGATAGGTCTCCAACATTCTGAATAAATATCACATCTTGTTTCCAAACACTGAACTGATTTACATGAAAGTATTAGTATGAGAAAACCAATTAGCCTCAACCCTTTTCAACAATGGCTATGACAAAACAATTCTTTCTTAATTTGTTAGATGAAAAAAGGATTTTAATATCTATAGTTTCTGTAAAATTTAACTGAATTATTTTAATTAAGTAAATAAGTAGACTCATGATAGCACATTTTAAAAGCCCACTGAAATGTTATCTAAGTTGAAATGTGAGCCACATGTTTCTTCAAGAGTAAAACAGATACTTCCCACTCAATTTGGAAGGAAAGTCCCTGACAGAGCATTTTATATTAGTACCTCAGCTGTATTTTCTGCCACTGGGATTATTTCTTTTGAATTTAAAGCAGCTTTCCAACGTGACTCCTGGGTAGGTGCTGGAATTTCTGTGAACAACACAAGGTTTAAAAGAAGAAATATTTAGGTTGGTTGGTAGAAAATCTGCCTGATATATGTGAGGCCCTGGGTTCAAGCCCCAGCAATACTGCCCCCCTACACCAAGTGAAGTTTATAACTGGGCGAGTAGATCAGAAGGAGAGAGCTTGCCTCACATGTGTGAGGACCTGGGATTGATCCCCAGAATTACAAGAAAAAAAAAATTTTACCTGCAATAATCAATTCCGTGGCTTTTAAGCAGTTTACATTTTAGGTGGTAAATATGAATTAAAATTATAAAACTGTGAAATATGAAGAGACTTCTGATATAAGTTCAGGATTCAAAAGTACCAATATAATTTTCCGTTGACAAATATTTCCACTAATTTTTTAACACAGGGTCTTGCTATGTATGAAGCTCAGGCTGAATCTGGACTTGGGGGCTCAAATGCTCCTCCCACCATCCAGAAAAACAGAGCTCACCATCACACCCAGCTTCAAAATGTCCCTCCTGAGGGACACCCGCTTTGTGCCTGGAGGCAGGTACATTTCCACAGGGGAGAGGGATGGCTGTGAGGGATGATGTTGGACAAGGATGTCCGCAAACCTAGAGCTCTTTGTGAACACTGAGTATGTAAGACCCACCAGGCCTGGGGATCCAAATTAAAAGATCTCCGAGGCTGGGATTAGAGGAATCTCTACCAATGAGGTCTGTGTTGAACTGAAAGAAATCAGTTATAAACTGTGGAATGGAGAAAGGGGGAGGAGAGGAAGAACAGGGCGGGAAGAGGGCGGGAGGGGACTGAGGAGATGGGGTGAAGGGAAGGGTGTGGTGGGTGTGAGAGTGAAAAAGAACACCTGGGGGAGTGGAAGAAAAGGGGCCCACACTGGAGCATTAGGGCTGCGTGTCTAAGAGTTCTAACCACTTAGGTCTGTTGTGTCCGTGGTATAATTGTGTAATATACTTAATGAATCCTCCAAATGAAATCACTATTTTCTTTAATTTAAAGAATAAAACTCTGCACTCCATTTCAAAGTTCATTTATTAGTCCCTTCTTTTTACTGGTGTTAAAAACCTTTTGGGAATAGGTAATGGCTTTATGGTCTGAATGCTAAGTGAGTCTGCACAGACTTTACACTGACTTAATCAAACAGAACTAGGTTTGTGAGAACATAATCTGCAGACCAGTCAACAGGTAAGAGGTGAAACAACCTCCTTTAAATTTCCAAGGAAACAACTTAACAAGAAGACAAGATTCTAAGAGACACAATTTACCATGCATGATATCACTTCCTTCAGGAAAATAAGTCAAGAAGTCCTTATCAAATTAAAACAGACTCTCAACTTTGTGTAGATAAAAAACAAAAAGGACTTTTATCCCAATCCCGCTGATGTCCTAAGTGAGACCAGTATTGATGTCATACACTCTCCAGCTTTCATTCTTATCATGAAAAACTAATGGGATCTTCAGGACTAGAAACCCATTAAAGTGCGAGGGGAAAACTGGCCTCTGCTTTCAACTGTTTGACTGCCGGATCCTCTACTGCATTAGGTACCTGTGTGGATACGCACATCCACCCACATTTTTTTTTTTAATATTTATTTTTTAGTTTTCGGTGGACACAACATCTTTGTATGTGGTGCTGAGAATCCAACCCGGGCCGAACGCATGCCAGGCAAGCACGCTACCGATTTAGCCACATCCCCACCCACATTATTACTTACACTGTAAGAATCATTTTTAGGGCTGGGGATGTGGCTCAAGCGCGCTCGCCTGGCATGTGTGCGGCCCGGGTTCGATCCTCGGCACCACATACAAACAAAGATGTTGTGTCCGCCAAAAACAAAAACAACAACAACAACAAAAAAAAATCAAAAAATTCTCACTCCTTTAAAAAAAAAAGATTTTTAAAGTTTCTATTTTATATTGAAATGACCGATTGAGAAATATAGTTTTACAAACAGTAAAATCTATCCTTTTTAGGCATATTTCTAAAGTTTTGACAAATGTATGCACTTAATAAACCATCACCAAAATCAAGACACAATACTGTATCACTCAAACACCCAAAGGTTCCTCAGTAACCCTTCGCCCGCATCTTTGTTGCGGTTTTAGGGACGGAACCCAGGGCCTTGTGCATGCTAGGCAAGCACTCTACCAACCAATCTACAGCCCAGCCCCTAGCATCCCTTCTCAATCCTCCTCCCACACCTGTTCCCAAGAAACCACTGGTTTGTGTCACTGAACATCAGGTTTAGGGCCAGTCATGGGGGTGTACAGCTATAACACCAGCTATTCATGAGGCTGAGGCAGGAAGATCAGGAGCAAGTTCAAGGCCAGACTAATTGAGATCATGTCTCTAAATAAAATAAAAAGGGCTGGGGCTAGGGATGAAGCTCAGTGATAGAGCACTTGCCTAGCATCTGTGAGGCTCTGGGTTCAATCTCCACCACCAACTAAACAAGAAAAAAACTAACGTTGCCTTTTCTAGCATTTCACATAGCACATAGGATTCTTTTAACCCAGCCTGGTTTTTCTGAAACTTATACACTAATAATATATCAATATTTTGTTTGTTTTTGGTTGAGTGTTCAGTTGTATGGATGTGAACTCTTATTTGTGCATTCATCTGTCGATGGATTTGGGCTGATTCTAGCTCTGGGCTATATGAATAAAGCTCCTGTGATAACTTGTGTGGATGTAGGTTTTTGTTTCTCTTGGCAAATATGTGAAAGAATGGATTAACAGAGTTATGATAAGAGTATAGTTGGTCAAGAAACTGCCTGACTACTTCTTAGTATACTTGCTTACCCACAGCATCTATGGTAAAAGTATTCAGATTGTTCATCATTTTAGACCTTTTATGTTTTCTAATATGAACATTTAATCCTAATAATTTCCCCTGTCAGCACTGTTTACCTGTATTGCATACATTCCAATATGCTCTTTTAATTTTCATCCAGTTCAGAATATTTTATAACATTCCTTTAAGGTTTCTTCTTTTACTCATAGATTTGAAGTCTGTTTAGTTTCCAAATATTCAGGGATTTTCCAACTACATTTCCATTATAGATTACTTATTTACTTCTCATTTATGATTCAGAATCTGATCTCTTAATGCATGTTACATACACTTAAAAGAATGAGTGTTTGATCATATATTCTAGACCAACCTGGGAAACACAGCAAGATCCTGTCTCAAAATAAAGTAACAAATTTGTAAAACGCCAGGAAAGTAGCTCTGTGATTGAGGAGTACTTACCTAGCATGTGTGAGGCCCTGGGTTTCGGCTACCCAGTACCCCTGCACACACAGAGTATGTGTATTTCTGGATTGGGTTAAATATTGTAGAAATGTTGACAGTTTAGGTTTCTCTAAAGCCTTACTTTCTTTCTACATATTGATTACTGAGGACTGTTGAAATCTCTATAATCATTATTGTTCATTTCCTATTTATGCTTTTGTTCCTCAGGCAAGGGGTGTGCATACTTACAATGATCAGCAGCCTTCCTCCTCACTGGTAGCAGCCCTTACCTACTTGCCCATAACAGCACCACCACCCCAGCATTCTTAGGACTAGCCCTTCCATGCTCTCCCATGGCTCACCCTCCACCCTCTTACCTCTAACATATCTGTTTATATACAAACTGCAACTCTCATGACTACAATAGATGAGTCATTTGTTATTTAGTCTGACAGCATTTGCTTTTTCATAGAGTGTGTAGACCATTTATTATCAACAGAGCTTTAAATCTACCATTCTGCCTTCTCTCCTTTATTAATCTTGTTTATTCTTTGTATGCTTTTTTGTGGCTTCTCTTACTTTAGAACTCGATCTCCACTGTTGGGTTATTTGCTCTGCTACTCTAGGCATTACCATATGTATCTTAAATCATAATCCATCTTTAAGTAACTCGGTTCCACTCACATAGTGCTCGGCCTTCACCTAGCACCCCGCACGCCTCTAGCAGTCTTTTGCGCTGTGGTTATCATATATTAACCTCGGCATATATGATAGAACTCCACAAAATGGTGTTACATTTCTTAGCATAGTTCCACTTTCCATCTCATATAATTTTCTTTTTACTTGGAGAATTTTATTTCTGATAGTGAAAATCTGCTGGCCACATATTTTAGTCAACTTGAGCTGGGGCTGGGGCTCAGTGGTAGAGGGCTCGCCTGGCATGTGTGAGGCACTGGGTTCGATCCTCAGCACCACATATAAATAAATAAAATAATGTACTGTGTCGATCTATAAATGAACACACACACAAACTTAATTTTCCTTCAATTTTTGAAAGATATATGCTAGATACAGAATTTCAAGTGGACAGTGATTTTCCCTGGTCTTTTAATGATGCCATTTGATTTTATTTAGAGACAGGGTCTCACTGTGTTGCTTGGCACCTCATTTTGCTGAGGCTGGCTTTGAACGCTTAATCTCCTGTCTCAGCCTTGAGCGGCTGGGATTACAGGCCTGTGTCCCCGGGCTCAGTGGTATGGTTTTCTTGATGTTTATCTTCTTTGGAACTTCCTGGGCTTGTGACTCATGCTTACTAAAATAACACTAATTCCCAGCCCCAGATTCACTTTTTTTTGCTTAAGCTGGAGAAAAAGGGCACTGCTGTCAATCTCCCTAAGTTTCCACATTCATTTCCTGCTGTGTTATGACTTTCCAACCCCTGCTGTCAGGGTCAGGGAAAAGGTATGTGCCATGAGAAGAGATCCATAATGGCGGCCAACAACGCAGATGTCTTTCAAAGGGTGGATGGATGAACAAGCTGTGATACACCCATGTCATGGGCTACTACTTGGCCACAGAAGGAACACACTACCAATATACAACAACATGAGCAGCACTCAAGAGGGAACTGTGCTAAGTCGAAGTCAGTCTCAGAAGGACATAGATTCTACCATATTTTCATAACATTTGTGAAAAGACAATTACAGTCATGAAGTGGTTGCCAGGGTTAGGGACTATGGGCAAGAGGCAGGTGTGACTATAAAAAGGACCATGAGGAAGTCTGATGGTGACAATTATACAAATCTACACATGTGATAAACTGTATAAAACTACAAATATATGTACATTAACACACTAAAACAAACTTCATAAGTTTCAAAAGGACATTTTGAGTTATGCTTCCCACTTTCTTAAGAAAAACAAAAAACCTTTACCTGTGTTGAAGTTGGACAGGGCTTCTTTGGTCAAATCAATAACAAAATCAAGTTTCTTCTTTACACTCTGAAAAGTCATTGTTAAAAAAAATAAGTAAGGTTTTGCTTTAAAAGTAGAGAATCATTTTTAAAAGATCAAACAAAATTTTAAACTAATGTTTCCCCACCTTTTGGCAGTGCAGGAGATGGAAAGGTCTGGGCATGTTGGAAGTATCCTACGATGAGGTGTACCCAAAGACCTAAATTATCATCTAGAAGCTAGAAACTGAACATTCTCTGAGTTTCTTATGGTTTAACTTAAATACACAATAAAAGAGAAGCCCTTATAAAATACTGCATGGTTTCTGAGAATATGATTAAGAATCCACATGCACTGGTAAATGGGTAAATGGGTATGGTCAGGAAATATGTTTATCACTAGCCGTCTGTTATTCAGTGTGTGAGCTGTACTGGAACCTGGTTAGGCTAGTTAGTTAGACACTAATACAAAGTACAAGCTGGCCTGGAACCTGACTATAAGAACTACTTGGATATTGATTTGTGTGTCTGTCTTTCTTTCTCTCTCTCTCTCTCACACACACACACACACACACACACACACACACAAGTGGAGGTGGTGTAGGGGGAGGGTACATGGGATATACTACCACATTCCCATCAACTTTGCACAAGAATCAATGACAAACACTAAGGTATCCAACACAGAGCAACACTGAAGATCCTAGAACAAATTATAATTTAAGTGAATAATCTAAGACAATGATTATTACCTACCCTGACTTCTGGTGTAGCATTAGGTGAATTGTTGAAATTTCTTGATGCTGTTTTTCTAATATCTGAAAGAAAATTATTATATTTTTAAGCTATTACACATGTATCTTTGTAATATGTGAATTATGAAACAATAATAATGGGGACACTGATTAACTTTTAATTAAGTAATCATAAAAAGTAAGTATTGACTTTACCTATTCCCAAAACTGATAATCTAGTTAAAAAAGTTAATTGGGTGTTAAAAGAATCTTTTCTTTCTGTAACTCTACAACATAATAGTAGCTCTGAAAATTATTTCAGCATTTGAAACCCTATACTTGACTATGTACCTATTTATTGTTTAACATGGGGATCGAACCCAGAACCTCATACACAAGTTATGCGAGAGCTCGCTACACCCCAGACACTCTTTACAGATTTTTAATTTTGTCCAGGCTGGCCTGGAACTTGCCATCTTCCTGTCTCAGCCTACCAAGGAGCTGGGATTACAGGTGTGTGCCACCACACTCAGCTGCAACTGTTTTTAAATTCATGATATTGTTAAAATAGATTGCCCAGATGGCTGAAAGGCATTCTTCCTGGAACCAGTTGGAAGACTCAATTATAATACTTAGCATCTTTTGTAGCTCTTTGATTTACAAACTGTGGACACAATTAAGTAGCTTCATAAATGGAGGCAAAGTTTTTTTAAATTAAGATTCACTACTCTAATAAAGTAAAAACAGGAATTTTGGATAAGAACTTATGGGCTGAAAAATATGGCTATGTTTGGAGAAATTTAAACTAATAAAAAAGTGTTAAAAAACAAAAAAGTTAAAAAACAAAGCTGACAAACTTTAAATGTAAAATAAAGTGTAAGACAACTTAATAGGTAAAAAGGCAAGAAATAAAACACCACCAGCACCAACAGAAGGTCAAGGCAAACGATTTTAAAAAATTATATGTAATTTTTTAACTTGAAAATCATTAGATAAACACAGTAAAGAAACAAAAGGATAGAAATTGATAAAATACAAGATTAAAAAGAAACATCAATTAAATTAAAGAATCATGTATTTATTTATTATTAATCACAGAAATCAAAACATTTCCAGAGTAGACACATTTTTTATTTTAGAAAAAGGTATTATTCAGTTCTTTATTTTAAACAAATATCTATTTTAAGCTTTCTAATTTGATAGATCATATTCTAATCATGTTAAGATACCTGTTGGATTTGATGTAACTGGAGTTGTCAAATTAGGACTTTCCACAGAAATCAACATAACATCATCATTGTTACTAAAATGATAAAAAAATTAAAAATAAACTAAACATGCATTACCAGGCTTAAGCATGCAATTAGTGGTTAGAATTCCTTTAAGTTATTATTTCATAACATGTTTTAAGTGACCAACCATTGGATGGAGGAGATAAAAATGAAAGACTTAAGGAACCCAAGATTTCCAATTCATTTATATAAACAAAAGGACATAGAACTTCAATACAATAGACACATAATAAGTTTTATGGGTCTAGCAGCTCAGTGAGACCCTGCCTCTAAATAAAAAAGGTTTGGGGATGTGGCTCAGTGGTTAAGTGCCATTGGGTTGAACAAATAAACTTTTGAGATCTTTTCAAAATGACTCCAAATATATATATATAAGTAGACTACATAAAGATACTCTCTACATGAATATGTAATTATCACTCTAGACATGTAGGTACTTTCTTAAAAATGAAAACACATAACTAAACGAACCCCATTAAGACTCATAAAGACACTTCAGACTTTTGAAGATGCAGGACTATAATAAATAATATTATTTTAAAAATAACAGCAACAACTCTATATTAAGCCATAATTTACCAAAAAATGTTCTAAACTCAGGCAAGGATAGTGACTGATGTTTATGGTTAGAGAATATCTCAGCCAGAACATCTTTTTCTGCCCTTTTCACTCCAATTTTATGAGTTCCACATTTTACATCAGAATTTTCTTAAGAAAACCTTGAGGCAAATTGCATTAAGTTAATTAAATGCTAAAGGAATTTTCCAGCAGAATTATACCATTCTCTTGTACATGTCTTGTATTTTTAACATTTGTGTTTAGGTCTAGAATTCATTTTAAGTTAATTTTTATATATGGTGTGAAGAGTTGAGGTTTATTCTGTCCCCCCTCGTTATCCAGACATATCTGTAGAAAATAAAATCTTTTCCCTATTCTCTTGACACCTTTCCACTAAACCAACGGATGACATCTGTATGTGTTCTTCAGTCTGTCTGTTGATTTACAAACTTAGCCTAGACCAATACCGCTGTCTAAATACTGTAGCTTTACAGCAGGTCAGGAACTCAGGTAGTTGAGTCTTCCAACTTTTTTTTTAATAACACTGTTACTCATCTGGGTTTTTGCATTTTCATGTATGTTTTTAACCAGTTTGTTACTTTATAGAATAAAGGTTCCTGGGAGTTTTGGATTGCATTCAATGTACAGAACAACTTGTGGTGGGTGGGAGTATCATCTTTATAATGGATTCTCTTAATAATGATTCAAAAAATGTAGTATATCCCACCATTTGTTTACATCTTCCTTAAAAATTTTCAGCAATATTTTATAGTCTCTGGGCCTCTCTTGCACATGGTAGGCAAGCACTCTACCAGTAGGCAACATCCCCAGCCCACTTTGTAGTCTTAAGTTAGGTTTTATACATATTTTGGTTTACCAAGTATATCACATTCTTTGATGATATTCTAAATCCCCATTGTTAATTGTCTGTATAAAGAAATACTTGAGAGAAATACATATATAGAAACAGAAAGATACTTTTACTTACCCATATTTACTATTTCTGGAAGTTTATATTACTTTACATAGATTTAAATTTCTCTCCAGTACTATTTTCCTACTGCCTGAAGAACTTCCTTTAAAATTTCCATTAGTCCAGGGCTGCTGATGATCTATTCTCCCAACTTTTTTAGTTTAAAAATGTCTGTTTTTCCCCTATGCTTCTATTTTTGCTGGATATAAACATTTTATTTTTAATATTTATTTTTTGGTGTAGTTGGACACAATACCTTTATTTCATTTATATTTATGTGGTGCTGGGGAACAAACCTAAGGCCTCACATGTGCCAGATGAGTGCTCTACCACTGAGCTACAACCCCAGCCCCAAGATTTTTAAGATACTTCTCCATATCAACATTTTATAGATGTCTTCTAGTTTGAAGTCAGCTGCCACTGTAAATCTTTGTTCCTTTCTATGTGATGTCTTTTATCGCTGGTTGCTTTTTAACGTTTTCTCTTAACAGAGTTCCAGCCATCTGAAATATGCGACAGGTTGTCACTGTGTGGTTTCACATCTCTTCCGCTTGGGGTCTGTTAAGCTTTTTGGTTGTTTAAAGTTTCCACCAGACACTGTATGCTCGACTGCCTTTTCTGCCCCTCCTTAGTGATACTCCAAACACATGTACACAGAGGCGGTGGCGGACTCTTGTCCACAGCTCTCTGAAGCGCTGTTCATGGCTTTTCTGGTCTTTTTCTTCTCTGACTCTGCACCATCTTCTGAATCCGTCACATGCACTGGTTCTAGGTCTACCACTCATGTTCCTCCTCATGAATGGGTCTCATTTCTGCAGCTTTACATTTTGGGCAATTTTTTTACTAGAACTGTGCTGTTCGCATGGGTCATTGGTTCATTCCTTCTGCACCTTAGTTTGAACAGTTTCCATTCCTATTTCATTGATTTTTAGAAACAATAATTAACTACTCTGATGTTAATTCTATCCAGTCTACTTTTTGACTCACTGTCTTTTTCATTTCTGAGAGTTCGGCTGGGTTCTGTGTCTTTCGTCCATTTCTCACATCTTCACGTTCCCCTCTACACTGTCGAGTGTGAAGAGCAAACTGAGGGCTCTGCTGTGGCGCTGTCTGTCTGCTCAACGCACCATGTACAGTGGCTCAGGTCGGTCACTCATGTTCCTGCTTGTTAATGGGTCCCACTTCTGCAGCTTTGCATTCCTGGCCATGTTTTTAGTAGCTGTGTGCTATTGAGCGGGGGATGTTGTTTCATTCCTCAGCACTGGATTTTCTTCTGGCAGGCAATTAAACTTTGGGGGATTATGGCGAATCTTTTGAAACTTGCTTTTAGCTTTTTAGTGTGAGGTCCTTTGCAGTCTTTAGTCTAGGACTAACTTAGCCCCACTGAGACATAGCCATCTCTGGACTTTACCAATGGCTTCTTAAGTCTATTCATCTTAGTGGGAAATCAAAATGTTGGACGTTCAGAAATTGTTTGGTCTTCTTTCCAGTGGTTCTCTCTTTGGCCTCAGGTTGCTTCCGTCTTATGTACATGGATCCATTTTTAGGCAATGATTCAAGAAATGTCCTTCATGGACCTTCAGAGCGCTGTCTTCGCACTTTCTTCTCTTGGCTGTTCTAAGCCACAAATTCTACCAACTCTCCGTCTCTGGTGGACCTCAGCAGGACCACCCAGCTCTGTGTGACTCCCCTCTCTGCTCTTCCCCCTGGAAAGAGCCTCCAGGCAGTAGGCCTGTGTAGGGTTCCTCACTGTTGCCCTGAGGTCCCTACTAGACAGTGTGTCCCCACAGACTCCCCGTTTTTAGACTGCTTTTCAAGGTATTTAACAGCTACAGGAACTGAGCTTTTACCATAATGTTTCATGGGCAGAAGCAGAACTTTCTACATATTTATTTTCATTCTGTGAAATGAACTGTTTTTATGCACATTTTAAAATGTGGACTTAACAATTTTATGTCTAATTTATCAATGAGGGATTCTAGTGTTTACTATTATTTGTAAGAAAGAAAATTAACATTCTTATCTAAATTTCAAGTAGATCTTCTCAGAGGTTCATTACACTATAGTCAAAATCCCTTATCCATCTCAAAATTCTTCAGTAAAGTTTTCTTTACTTGGTAATATAGTACTTCAACTATAATGCTATTTAGGTGTATGAGAAACTAAAGGCAGAAAGACCCTGTATGTAGGAGCTAAGTATCAACACTGACACCCATGAAGGTCAGGGAGTCGCGGTGAACCGCCAAGCTTTCAGGGGGAATCTATGAAAGACCAAGTCTCCGGCTGGGGAGGTGGCTCAAGCAGTAACGCGCTCGCCTGGCATGCGTGGGGCACTGGTTTGATCCTCAGCACCACATAAAAATAAAGATGTTGTGTCCACCGAATACTGAAAATTAAATATTAAAAGCTTCTCTCTCTCTCTTAAAAAAAATGGTTTAAAAAAAGAAAAGTCCAAGTCTCAGGAACCATGGAGAATGAGAAAGAGGAAGAGACTTACTCAGATCACAACAAGCCTCAAGTCATACTACTCTTCAACAGACGAGGGGATTAGACCAGTTTATCTGACAAGCAGAAGAAAGGATGAATGTGTGTACACCAAAATAATATTATTTAGAGCCTTAACAATTTTTCAGGGATTATCAATATGCCAACAGACAGAATAAATGACTGGAAATTGACAGAAAAAGAATAGAAACAGATACACAGGTGATCCAAATACGGAAGTTATAAAACAAAGGCATTCAAATAACTATGATTACCAGTATTAAGAAAATGGAGGGAAGCCAGGTATGGTGGTACATACTTACAATCCCAACTACTGAGGCTAAGGCAGGATGATCAGAAGTTCAAGGCCAGCCTGAACAACTTAGTAAAGCCCTGTCTCAAAATAAAAAGGGGTGGGGATGTAGCTCAGTGGTAGAGAACTTGCCTAGCATGCAAAAAGCCCTAGGTTCAATCCCAGGTCTTACACTTCATGAGGGACATACAAGTGGCTAACAAATATGAGCCTGTGTACTTGGCTTCATTCTTAGAAGGAAAAACAAACTAAAACCTTATTGTGATACCATTCAGTAGGATATCTAAAATCAGAGACAGATAATACCAAGTGTTGGCAAGAACATGTGGTAACAAAAATCGCACACACCTGCTGTGGGAGTACAACTTGATGCAACTGCTTTGGTTGTAATATCTATTTAATCTAGAAATACATGTATCCCCTAGCCTCCATGAATATGTCCGATGTGTGTATATATGTGTATTCATGAAAAGACATGCAAAATAATGTTTGTAGCACCACTGCTTATAATTTCCCCACCTGAAAGCAATTCCAGTGCCCATGGACAGAATGGGTTGATTGTGGCATATGATATAACGTACATAAGACATCCACGGGAGAACGAGCGAACTACTGCTGCCAGGCAACAGCGGGTGGGTCTCACAAAACAATGTAGGCAAAAGCAACAACACACAAAAGTTGCCCAAGTCTGATTCCACATATGTAACTGTGAAAAGCAGGCAGAAACAATGAAACAGAGGAGGTGGCTGCCTATATAGTTATGACAGTTGAATCTATAAAGCTATTAATGCTTATCCTAAGAAATCCATCCGTAAATCTGAAAATGAAAGGACTTTTGGTATCTCACTTTAATTCACTTAATGATATGCAACTTTTATGAAACTGCTCTACTCACTCCTACTAACAACATCTCTTTTTTCATAGACCATATTGGAAGGAAATTGGATAAACTGATGATTGTCATCGTAGTGCAAATGTGTGTAATGATTTTCCCAATGCTGAGAATCAACACAGGGCCTCATACAGGCTAGGCAAGTTCGCTACCCTAGGAACATCCCTGGCCCTTTTGATTTTATTTGGAGACAGGGTCTCACTAAGTTGTCAAGGCTGGACTCAAACTTGTGATCTCCTGAGCCTTCTGAAAAGTGAAGTCTATTCATGATTTCTGCTTAGATTTTATCTGGAGAAAATTTTTGCATATAAAATTAATAATTCAGGTAATGATAGACCAGTTAAGAATGCTGAGTTCTTGGGGCTGGGGATGTGGCTCAAGCGGTAGTGCACTCGCCTGGCATGCATGCGGCCCGGGTTCGATCCTCAGCACCATACACAAAGATGTTGTGTCCAACGAAAACTAAAAAATAAATATTAAAAATTGTCTCTCTCTCTCTTTAAAAAAAAAAAAAAGAATGATGAATTCTGGAGACAATGGCTGGATCTAAGTTCTGATTATGCCATTTACTAGCTGAGTATTTTGGAGCAAAAACTCTGCTTTGGCTTTGACTAGAAAAGACATAAATTTATTATTAAGATGAGATGAATTTCAACAAAGAATAAGTAGGATGAAACACATGCCCATTTCTCTAGACTACTATTAGCCAGTAACTTGTTTTCCCCCTTTGTGTCTCTGTAAACACTTATTCATATGAAATTCAATCTAAGACATTTTGGGCAGTATTGACATTTTGTTTAATCAGCATTTGTTAAGTGGTCTGTTCTTGGGTACTGTAGTCCTTCATGTTTTATCTTCATTTTTGGAAAGGACTGTACATAAAGCCCTTCTCGTCCTATTTTTAAGCAAGATTCTTCTTTATCAAATAGATATTACAGTCATAAGCCTTCTGTTCTACAAGCTTCTACAGGTCAGTTGTTACTGTCTTTTCAATTTTCTTCACATTATAAAATGAAAAGTGCTCAAACTTCTAAATCTAAAAGATACCATAAAAACAAATATCATTACTAACACCTCTGATTCAATTCTAGGGCATCAGAAATCAACAATTTTAAAACCTCCTGGCTTTCAGAAACCAGGATGATTTAAAAAATTTTTCTTTCTTTCCTTACTGGGGAAAAAAAAAAATGATTCTAAATACAGCTTTTCAAAGTTGTTGGAGTGTGAAGCCTCCATCATAGTTTTTCTACATATCAGTTCATATACTTTGCACACACATAACTTATTTCTTAAAGGATTTAAGAAATAAAGGAATTCTTTAAAAAGAAAGTGAAAAAAGAAATGCATGGTTCCTCATTATTATCCTGATGCTAGAGAAAGCCAGGACATTTTATTTTATTTTTTTAAATAGTTATTTTGTAGTTGTAGTTGGACACAGTACCTTTATTTTATTCATTTATTTTTATGTGGTGCTGAGGATTGAACCCAGGGCCTCGCTCGTGCTAGGCAAGCGCTTTACCACTGAGCCACGACCCCGGCCCAAGCCAGGAGTTTATATAATTGTTGTTTTCTGATGCCCTAGAAGTGAATTAGTGCTGTCAGTAATGGTATTTGTTTTTCTCCTTTGTTTAATATTTTTTTTTATCTTGTCAATGGACTTTATTTATTTACATATGGTGCTGAGACTCAAACACCAGTGCCTCACACATACTAGGCAAGCGCTCTACCACTGAGCCACAACCCCAGCCATTCTCCTTTGTTTTATAGCAAACTTAAATATGAATAGCAATTAGTTGGAAAAAGTGGTGTTCTTCAAAGATTTAAAATTTAATATTTCAAATAAAAATTACAGAGAAGATCCAAAAAGCAAGACTTCTAGAGCTAATAAACAAATTCAGCAAAATATCAGGTTACGAAACCAACATACAAGTATCAATAGCTTTTCCATACACAAAAGTGTGAGAAAGAAATCAAGAAAAAAATACTATTTACAATAGCCTCAAAAAAATAAAAACACCTGGGAATGAAATCTACCCAAGGAGGTGACAGATCTCTATAGAACACTGAAGAAAGGAACTGAAGAAGACACAAAGATGAAAAGACGTCCCATGTTCATGAATAGGCAGGATTGTTAAAATGGTCATGTTATACAATCAATACCCCGATTCAGTGTAATCCCTATCAAAATATCAATGGCATCCTTCAAGGAACTAGAAAAAACAGTCTTAAAATTCATTTGGAAGAATAAAAGACACAGAAGAGCCAAACCAATTCTAAGTCAAAAAAGCTTTAGAGACCAATCCTGTTATTTCATAATGGACAAAGTCTTCATGTATGAAGTTACAAGTTATTTTATGCTTAATTGAGAAAAGGGTATATTTTTACAAAGTATTTGTTTAGACAAGAAAGTTTGCTCATTTTTGTAGAAACACCTACCTTTCAGAAACAAACTCAACACAATCTGGTGACAAATTAATGTTTTCATTTGCTTTCTTGAAGGGGTTAGAAGATTCAGAGTTCACGGAAGTTACTCTTTCGTTTGGATTATTAATTGATTCTTGATTCCTACCAAAATTCATGGTCTCTGAATTTGTGATCTGTTAAATGGGTGAGGAAAAAACAGTTGAGGAGTGGGTAAAATTTATGTCAGTCAAAATTTCACTTAAAACTATTTTCAAAATATTCTCACATGACAAAACGTATTAGATAATCTGTATTTCAACAACTGATGACCACGATTGTGATTTCTCTGCCAAAATAAACTTTTAAAAACGTTGAGGGAAAAAAAAACAAGGAAATAAGGATAATGTTACCATACAGCATTCAACTTCCTAGGTTGGATGACAAGGAGGGATATTAAATACTTAGGTACTGTAGACAACATTTTATTTCTACCAGCTGAAGTTTTAGAAACTAAAAAAAATAACTTTTTACTACTGCCATATTTCTAATAAAGACCAGAAATAAATCAGATTGCAAACTCACTTTTTCAAGTGGTGAATCTGTTTAAAACTTGGAGTTGAAACATTTAGTCTGTGTTCTGGCTTGAGAACTTGCAGCATTTATAATATGTCTGCATATTACCCAATAGGAAAGGATCAACTGATTGTCTAACTCAGGAACCATTCTCTGGTACAGTATGCACACAAAAAATGCAGATACACTAAAGCACAATTCTGCAATATTATTGTTATTAAATGAACAGACTTTATGTAAAGAGTAGTTTTAAACAACATTACAAATCCGGAAAAGGTGGCCCAATCCACTTCAATGTCTGGATGGTCAGCGCACCACACGAGGGACAGTAATAGGGCCTGCACTACTCACACACCAACATCACCCCTGCTCCCCGCCCAGGCAACAGCACGCCCAGGGCACTGCCTGACAGGGTCCATGGGCCAACATCTCCTGAACTTCCATCCAACAGCACTGGGAACCCGTACGAAATGAACAGACACCCAGGGGAGCCACAGGAATGAAGGCAACGCAAACAGCACACAAAATCTCTGGGAAAAAACACTGTTATCTGAAATACAGCTTAAGAGAGGAGAGCAGGACCTACTCACTAAACCTAAAAGGGAACTGCCTACTGAAAAGTTACATGCCACATCTCTTCAAAGAACCCTTGGTTTGGCTGAAAAGTTACATGGCACATCTCTTCAAAGAGCCCTTGGTTTGGCTGAACACTGTCACGTTTTGCTCCTCTGGGAGAAGCAAAAGGTTGTCCAACCATGTCCTTGGTTTTTTCTTCAGAGCATGCTTTTTTGCCAATAAACTTCCTAATTTTAGGATCTGTTGCGATCTGGATAGGTTGAAAATTTTCCAGTGTGCAGCACTTTCTCCTTACAATTGTTTCTTTCATGTTGTACTTTAATAGAAGCAAGAAGAAATACACAAAACTTTCCTTCAACACTTGCTCAGAAATCTTGTCAACCTAATAAAAATCCAAGTCCAGGGGGCTGGGGTTTTGGCTCAGTGGTAGATTGCTTGCCTAGCACGTGTGAGGTACTGAGTTCAATCCTCAGCACCATATAAGTAAATGAATACATGTGCTGGGTCCAACTTTAAAAAAACATCAAAGTCCACTGCGTACAACTTTGGTTCCCCATGACAACTGTAGACTATACACCCTGACCTTATATATAAAAAAACAATCCCCTAAGCAGGCTGCAGTGGTGCACACTTACCATCCTCGCCACTCAGGAGGCTGAACGTAGGAGGACAGAAAGTTCAAGGCTAGTCTCAGAAACTTAGTGAGATCTTAACTCAAAATAAAAATATAAAAAAATGTCTGGGGATGTAGTTCAATGGTAGAGCACCCCTGGGTTCAACTCCCAGTACCACACATGCCCACACAAAAAAAGGGCAGAAATCTAATGTATGTAAAGAAAGAATGAAGAACAGAAATCAATGAGAAAAATGAAAGAGTAAAACTCCAAAAGCTCTAGACTCGTCAAGAAAAAAAGCAGATTAACCATATCAGAAATGAAGCCAAATACTAACATACATTATAAAAAAAAAATAATTCAGGGTACATGCACAAATTATAAGTTGTATATAAAATATAAACAGCTAGCTGGGCACGGTGGTACAAACATGTTGGGAGGCTGAAGCTAGCCTCAGCACTTAGTTCATTAAGCACTAAGCAACTTAATGAACTCTGCCTCTAAATAAAAACTGAAAGAGCTGGGATGTGGCTCAGTGTAAAGCCTCCTTTGGACTCAATTCCTAGTATCTGCTCCCCAAATAAATACACACAAAAACGCCACTAAATTGCACTTAATCATTTTATATGTAATATTTTGAAATGTATGTTTCAAAGTTTATTTTGATACAAAATATATTGGCATTCTGAAAGTATCAAATATACCTGGCTTACTGGGGATGAATATATATGACAAGACTAAGTTAGCAAAATATTAAAGTTAAAATCTAGGTGTTCGGTATATGAATACTCACTGTAAAATTCTTTGCTGTATATACGGACCCTTTTCAAACTAAAGAAATGCAAGTGACAATTCATAAGAACATTCTAAGTATAAATTAATCTATGTCCAAGTTAGGAAATAAATTCATTTCTTACAGTCCAACTACTTATAGGAGTCATCTAGGTTATTAAAACTCCTGTGTGTTTATACCAACCTGACAGGCTATATTATTAGATAATGTGTTTGGTTCCAAAGCTTTCCTTTGAGATAATAATACTGTTCTAATACGTCTTTGAAGTCTTGTTATTTTTGCCTGGAAGAAAGAAAAATAAGTAAAATCCAATCTAAAGAGCTAAGATAATATATAGAAAAATCATTCAAAGTAGTCTTGTGAGACTTAGGCATATAATCAAATAAGAAGTTCTTATTTAGTTATCCCCTGGTATCATGGAATTGGTCCGAGCCCCGGTGTCAAGGAGAAAGTCAAACTTGCATCCATCCACCTGAATCCACACCCAGGGTTCCTGTCTATTGATCATTAGGGTCGGGGGCTATGACCCAAGGTTCCGTCAATTGATTGACATGCCCAGGTCAGAGGGTTCCCTGGCCATAGGCCTCCTACGGGATCTAGGATACTCAGAGCCCCAATGACCATGTTGTTGATTTAGGGCATGGGGTATGCGGGAATGCCTGGTGCAGGGCATGCCCTGGCCCAACGTCCCTTATTGCCACACTTGAAGCAGGTGCGCGGGGGTGGGGTGGGGTTTGACCTGCTGTGAGGGGCGGAGACCCGAGGAAGCACCCTTCAGGGCCTGGGTGAGCATCTGAAATCATTGTGTTCAGCCTTGTGAGAAGCCTGAAAGGCTACCGCCAAGAGCTCAGTCTTGGGGGTGGCAGCGCGGTGTTTGAGCTTTTTTAGTTGGCCCGGCTGTCAGGGTAGCTCTGCGAGAGGAGATATGTCATAATGACATGATGGCCATCTGGGGTTTCGGGATCTAGGTTAGTATACTGCTGAAGGGCTTTTGTAAGCCAAAGCAGAAATTCCAATGGGGTCTCCTCTCGCTTTTGAATAATCTCTTGTAATTTTTGGAAACTGATGGCCTTACGTGCCGCTGTTTTGAGCCCAGCAATAATAAATGCAGAGAATCGGTCCCTACTCTGTATGCCAGCTTGTGTATCATAATCCCAGTCGGGAGTTTGATCTGGGGCAGCAAGTGGCCCCAGAGGGTGATTGGAATTAACTTGGTGAGTTTCATCCGCATGGGCTCTGGCAAGTGCCCAGACTCTGGTACGTTCCTCAGGAAGGAGACTATTAGCCAATAACATATATATCTCATGGTGACTGAGGCTATAAGCCTGGAGGACCCATTGAAACTCTCTTATGTAAGTGGTGGGATCTGTGGTGAATGAGCCCAACCTTCGCTCGGGCTGTGTGAGGTCACTATCCGGAGAATGCCCTCAGGTCCAGCAACCTCTCTTAAGGGGGCACTGGTTTGTAGGACTAGGGAGCGGGGCCTAGTCTGGGGGGACTAAAGGTGTCGGCCTAGTCAGGGGGAGCACCTGAGGGGCTGGACAGAACCGACGGGGAAGTCGGTAGGGAAGGGGGTTCATCTACCGGATAGGTCGGGGTGAGAACGAAGAAGAGAAGAAGCCTCAACATAGGGGATCTCCTTCCACTTTTTCGAGTACTTGCAGAAGTTAAACAGATCTCTGAGAATTGCGACTGGGTTCCAGATTGGGTGTCAGAGTTTTGCTGGACATTCACAGTCAAAGCCCCTGCATAGCCCATCTGAAGTTGGATACCCGATAGGGGAACTCACCTACTGAAGAGCCGCTGTTGTGCGAGTAGCAGCGCTCGAAAGAGTGGATGAGGACGGCCAGCCTTGAGAGAGGGGCCCTCAAGCAGTGAGGCATTCCCCCTCCCAGGTTCAGAACAAGTGCCGGATTACTGAGGAACAGCTCTGCATATTTATAGAGCAGGGGGTGGTTTGACAGTTATGACAGTTTTAACGGTTTAATGGTTTGACAGTTGGCACGGGGTGCCTTCTGATTGGTGGGTAAGGATCATGTGAGTCAGCAGGGCTCACCACTGGGTGGCTCTTCTGGGGGGGATGAGGAAGTTAGTCTTTGGAGCCAGGGAGACTCCCAACAATCAGTCTTTTCACTGGTCCACTATAAAACTGATGCTGATAAAAACACCAATCAGCAAGTGACCCTGGGGCGGGGGGATTCCAAGAGGATGAAATAGGCTGTTTAACTCTAACACAGAACATACTTAAAATGAAAAGAAACAGTGCCTAAGAACTAAGCCATAAAGCAACCCAGGATGTTGATGGCTCTGAGTACTTCTCCAAGGCCAATACTGCTGAAAAGTATAAGTTCTTTCATCTTTTGTATGCCATAGTCCTAAATAGGCTTGTGGCCAGGAATCAAATTTGGGTCTTCTTCCTTCACTGTTTGCCTTTTCTAACACATAAGAGCACCAAATTTCACTGTTTTAAAAGGACTCAAATGAAATAAAACTTACGAAGAGTTCATCAGCTGTTGCTTCATGCTTATTCCTGCACTGCATCTTCCCAATGCGTTCGTTCAATTCTTTCAGTTTTTTATCAAATAGTTTGTGATTTATACTACATATCTCATGACGAATCAAATGTCTGACCTAGAATTTTAAAATAAAAACAAAAACATCTCAGATTTCAAATTTCAAATAACTTTTTTACTTTATAAAAATAGCTTTGCTCTTTTTTCTGGATTAACTTTTTAATGTTTCCATTTATATTACTGTAGCAATAAGTTATATAAAACTTGAATATTAATCTCAATAGAACATATCCAGCACTCTACTGTCATGTATAACTAATTAGAATAAAAAAATACCATATACAATATATAAAGGTGTTAGAAATTAAATTTATTCTCAAATTGCTAATTTTAGCTTCTTGTAGTTCCAGTTGATTATTATTCTATAATATCCATTGTAGAAACAATTACAGAGCTATATTACACACACACACACACACACACACACACAAACACACTTTTTCGGAGGTTGGGGGGACCAAGAATTGAACTCAGGGGCACTCGACCATGAAGCCACATCCCCAGTCCTAAGACAGGGTCTCAAAGAGTTTCTTGGCGCCTCGATTTTGCTGAGGCTGGCTCTGAACTCAAGATCTTGTGCCTCAGCACCCGGCTCCATTTAGATTTTTAATTATCAAACTTACAAGTTCGTAGTCCATAAAAAGCAGCTCTACTTATCTGAAAACCAGAGCCTGATGAAAATGGTTGGGTGGTCTACAGTAGATACAGAACAAATTGCCCAAGTTTGAAACTTGACCCTGTGATTAACAAGCCATATGGTCTTTGACAAGTCACAACACCTCTGGGCTTCGTTTTCTCTGTCCAAAATGGATAGAGGACATGGAAAAATGTTTGCTGAATAAGGGATACTTAAAGGATTTTATAGGAACAAAATAAGATAACATGTGAAGTAGTTCCATATTGAAATGAGAGAATAAATATGCAAAAAATTCACCATTATTTCCATAGTATTTTAGGGGATAGCTTTGTTATGATAAAATGGAAAAAAGCCAGGAACAAATATGCAATGACTCACACTATCTGGAAAAATGAATGCTATTCTAACACTTTGTAGTAGCTATTACATGAAAGATTAATGCACTTTATATAATCTGCACTTTCAATAAAAAAAAATAGATTGGCCTATTTTCAGGACGCATAATTAATCTCAATGGCCACTGATCTGCACAATACATTCACAAACACTGCAGTTTTTCAGTGTATATTCTCCTGTAAACAAATTTCATTACAAAGTAGGTAGACTCTCTTAATAAAGACACCAGTCACGATACATTTAAGGTGTTTATTAGCGATAATTATATCTTGCCCCCAATATCTTGCTACATGGTGCTCAACTGAAATGCATAGTTCACAGGTTGAATTCTTTTATATTGCTATTCACCTGATGATTAGTTTTAGTCTATAATTTTATTTGATTATTTCCAAGATTTTTCGTTTTTATTTTCAATTGTTTTCATTATTCAACATTGTCTATGTCTGCTTGGTCTTTTCCGTAGTGCTTACTAAACACACACACACACACACACACACACACACACATACGTACACATACATATGTATGTATATATATATATGTCTATCCACACACATATCACTCAAAATATAATTGTAAAAAAAATTCTCAGAAACACATACTATTTTTACTGACAGTGTGGGTTACTATGTGCTTGCCAGTTCATTGGCTGGGGTAATATGTGAAGGTCATGCTCAGATAAATCTTAAGAGAAACATATCTAAATGCTTTGAACATGTGTTTCTGAAAAACTTCCTTGGAAAGGAAGAATCAAATGGAATATATGTTTAAATCACAACTACTTGGCCTCATCCTGGATCCAAATAGAATCTCCAGGAAAGAGGCTTAGAAAGTTGTACAATTAACAGGCACCACCAATGATTCACCCTGGCTACGTAAGCGAAAACAATGATCTTCAACTATTAATGAGCTCAAAAAACCTCTATCTGAGGGAGACCCTTAAACTTGATGACTTGCCCACTAAGGGGTAATTCTTTTTAGAGTGAACTTTTGTCCTCACTTTGTGATGTTTATTATACAGATGGAAGGCACAATGGATTCCATAAAATGCCTATTAAATGTGTTTTACCAATGGTAAGGTATGCACCATTATGGAATCTGGTGGAAGGTCTACCTGCAGTGGCAACCAAATTGGCCACAAGTTTGTAGAAAATGTAAATTTACAATCTGCCCTCACTTTTTTAAAGAGGGCAGTTAGACTCTGGAGGAAAAACCTTCCAAGTCTCTAACCTAACAGAGTCAGCTAGGTCCAGATCCTTCCTAGATCTCAGGAGACAACAGCTCTAGGACTCTCAACAGGGAAAAAGAATGTCAGGATGGGAAGGCCTTATATCTATGAGATTCAAACAAGATAAACATAGAGACAGGCTTAGAGAGAGAAATGTCTGGACAGGAATAACACGAGGGGAAAGCTAGCTGTTTTGACCTAGGAAAAGAGGACTGCTAAATCCAAGTTTTCTCTGGAGAATGTAAAGAAACCAGATGCCTTCAACTCACTGAGAAGAACCGTTTTGTGAAGTAGACAAGGGTACTGACAGCTCTATGCCAGTGAAATTAAAATGTCCAAAGTCTAGGATACATTTTGTCCATTCCCACTGTTTCTGAATGCAGCCACCCATCACTGGGAAGCCTCAGTCTTCTTCCTGATAACATGGTCCTTAGGTTTGATTGCCCTTCTCTGCCAGCAAAAGAACAATCACCTTTTTTTTTCTTTTGGTGTTCCTGGTGCTTGAGCCCAGAAGTGCTTTGATACTAAGGTATATCCATGGTCTTGCTAAGTTGTCTACATTGGCCTCAAACTTGTGATCCTCCTGCATCAGACTCCCAATAGCTGGGATTTTAGGAGTGGACCACCTTGCCCAGCTATTGCATACTTTTTAAAATTAGTGTCTACTTTGATCTTCTTGGAAGAAAATAGGAGATAGAAAGAGGAAAACTGCTAACTTACCTTTGAAGCTGGTTCTGCATCAATCTTTTAAAAAAGTTTTCCTTTAATAGGGAATACATGGTCCTAGGACATATAGCGATATAATTGTGATGGTCCGTTTTAGAATGCAGTAGTGCTTATTGAGATAAAATATATAATATATATTTTTCCCCCGCCTGAAACACACTAATCACGTGGTGTGGAAAATTCTGGCCCACTATGGCTGAAACATCTGCTCTACCACATACTTTCTGATAGTGATAAGATGCCAGTGATAGTGAAAAAGCAAAGCCGGATCATCAAAACAGGATCTCATTACAGCCACAGAATCGGAGCTCAATGAACCTCATTTCAGAGCTGAGAAGACGTGTGGAGGCCACAAAACAATGAGATGAGTGGAGCAGAAATGAGAGCAGCACATCCACGTTGCTGTGGAAGTCTGAGTAAGTGAACCTGAATTCAGAAGAACTCTGCAATGGACTCTGGACAGTCTGATCTCAACTGAACAATCATGATGAAGTCTACAAACAGCCACCTGCCACCAAGGAGCCCATAACCAGCAGAAAAGCTCCCGTTGTTTCGCAGAGTTCAAGATTGTTCAATGTCAGACTCACACATATCTGACTGTAAGGTTGACTAAAAAAGAATTTTTTCCTACAACTAGACTATCTACACAATTCCCCCACTTTCAAGAACCTAGAAATATTTTGGTAAGGGACATAATTAATCTGTCTGCTCATTTGATTTTCATGCACCAGCTTTGCATCAAGTGAAAATCATCTGTACCATGTCACTGTGAAGAGAAGTTAGTTAACATTGAATATTTTTAAAAATGTATTTATTTAATGTTTTTTTAACTAATCAAAAAATGTTTTTGAGGCAAATATTTAAACCCCAATATTTTACCTGTTCCAGTACTGCTGTTTGCTTTTCTAGAGCTACACAAATGTTTTCATTAATTGGCTCTGAAGTTTTCATGCGTTTAACATTTTCTTTGTTTTCTGAAAGCGTCCTCTTCTTTTGATTATGGCCTTGGGGAGATGGAAAGATTAGAAATAAAAATATTCTTTCTTGAGAAGAAAACGGGAATCCCTAATTTGGGGACACTCTAAGCAAATGGAAAAACTAAAACGTAACAAAATTTTTAAGAAAATTTGATGCATAAAAATGTTCCCACAAACTTGTTTAAAAAAAAAAAAAGACTATTTTGATAAAGTATGGTTCTGATCTCAGATACACTCCCACTCCAGACTTATGTAATACACATATACCAACAAAAACCAGTCAAACTACATCATTTAATCCTTTGCTTAGCTAATTCAGCGATCCAACATTACTTTTACAATTACTTAATGCTATATATTTTTTAACAGGCGAACCTATCATTTTTAAACAATTTTAAATTCATCCTTTAAATTATTACTCTGAGACTAGAAAAAAAATCTCGAAATTCTGTAAGTATTTTCTTATATTTCAATAACCAACATAAATATTCAAGTTTACTTTTGCTGTTTGAATAGTTTTACAACCTAGGACTTCATTTGTTAACTATTTGGTGTTTCTCTCCTCTCTCCACACACAGACACAAGCATATATATGTATGTGTGTATATAACGTTATCTATCATCTTTTACCTACCATGTAATTCACAGGCCAAGTCCATGGAAGGAAATGAGTTCACCAACAATTTTGAAAATCCACTCTTTCTAATAAACAAAACTTCAAAATAACAAGAGACATGATTGAAATGAACCAAACAACTGCCATAAGCCACATTTTCAGATTGTTTGCTCTCACAGGAAAATGATTCCTTCCTTGTCAGGAGTAACTTCCTTTTTTTTTTTTTGGTACCAGGGATTGAACTCACAGGCACTTGACCACTGAGTCATATCCCCAGCCCTATTTTATATTTTGTTTAGATACAGTATCTCATTGAGTTGCTTAGTGCCTCGCTATTGCTGAGGCTGGCGTTGAACTTGCAATCCTCCTGTCTCAGTCTCCCAAACTGCTGGGATTACAGGCTTGAGCCAACTCGCCCAGCAGAACATGCTCAGCAAAAATAACTTCCTTTATATACAGTTAAAATGAATCAACTTTGGTCTAAAGCCACTTGTGTAGTTAAAAGATGGCCTGAACATTTTTGGATGTGCAGTGAATTATAACCTAACTTGATGTGTTGAATACTCTGCAACCTACTCATGTAAAAAGTACCTGTCGGGAAACCAGAAGTGGCCACCTGATCAAAACTGGAAATGAGATATAAGCAATCAGATCAGGCTGTCTCTTGTACCTCACTTCCTTTTCTGTATGTTGCTGCCTTTTCTTTGGCTATAAATACAACCTGTTGTGTAGTGGGAAAGAGCTTCGAAACATTTTTGGTCCTGACTGCTGCCTAATTCAAGAACTGGAAATAAAGCCAATTAGCAACAGCAAAGCTAGATTTGTTGAAATAGTCTCTTTTCACAATACTCTTCCTCCTCCCCACCAAAAAGAGTTCATAAACAAGTTACTCTGAAATAATTATAGTCATCATTCACTTTTTCTTTAAATATAGTATATACAAACTCACCGATTTGTATATTTGAGGTTTTAAAATCCCCAAAGAAAAATTAATTTCTATAAAAGAGGCAAAAATATACACTTACTGTTATTACCATCAGTGTCGAGTAATGACTGCCACTTTGAGTCTGTACTTTCACAATATGAAATGCTGGAATGACAGGTTCTACTGGATTCTTCTGTTTTCAAAATGTCAGCAATACAGCTGGAGGAATTAACTAAATTTACCATGCAAGATGTTTTCTCAACAGGCAGAAAATGTGAGTTTGGACTTAAGATGTCATTTTGCCTCTTATCAAGTGACTCTGAATTGGAGTTTGCTTCTAAATTGGAAACCATCTTATCGATTCTCTTATCATTCAAGGTATTTTGAACTACATCACTCAATAAGTCGGGCGGGCAGCAAATAGGTTTTAGATTATAATTCTCTTCCAGTTCAAAAAAAGATCCTTTTACTTTTGTCTGGTATTCAAGATGAGTTTCAGAAGTGTTCTGGGAATCTTCGGCCCTTTGTATAAACAATCTGCTGGGAGAATCTAATGTTCTTCTTGGCTTTTGGTAATGACACACAACTTGTTCATCATTATGTTCCAGTCTTGTTTTTGAATCAACAATTTCTTCTACTGGTTTTACTAAATTCTTAGGAACCACTATACTTTTCTGTGAGAACACTGAATTTTTGTTAGAATTGAGTGAGGAATCAACATTTTCAGAATGTTTACACTTGCCAGTTAAAACCCCAGTACTTAAATTCTGACTACCACTCGGAACATTACTCCCAATTTCTGCTGTTCTCAGAGCTTCAACATTCTTAGACTTATTCAAGATCTCTACTTGCTTCCGGCAACTTGTAGGCATTGTTTTTTTGGCTTTTAATATTTTCCGTTTACTTCTATCTGGACTTGCCATCTTTCATATCCTAGAATTTAAGATATCATATTCAAATGCATTTCTCCACTAAGTTTATTTACAATATTAAAATAGTGTTAAAAGACTATCTCTACAGATTTAATTAATTACATTTTCATCTGTCAATGAAAACAAAAAAATGATTTCAATATTTATTTACAGTCCAAAAAACAAGTATGAATTTTCTTTGGCAACATTATAACACCCCATTAATAGAAAGAATCCACATGCCAATCAGTAGCACACTGGAACACTGATGTATAGGATAGTTGCACAGTGAAGTATAATCAACAATAACTGCTCTTTCGTTATATACAATAGTATGAGTTGCAAAACCCTAGAGTTTAAATGAGTTAGACCAGTGTGCACTGTCCAATTTCATCTTAGCAAAGATCAAGAACAATTACAGTGTTGTGTTTAATAAAAAAAAAAAAAAATCAAAGTGAATATCGACCAGAAAGAGAACCAGCTAGACCTCTTTAAGTTTTGGGAAAATTTGTTTGTTGATATAGGTGCAGGTTTTATGAATGTGTTCAGTTTGTGAAAATTATCAAACACAATGAGAATTTGTGTACTTTCTTATTATGTACAACATTTAAGAAAAAGAAAATCTGATAGTTTGCTCTGAAGCGACTTAAAACACATATCAAAATAATTGTAGACTTGGCTCTACAGCAGAATTAAATATGTCCAAAGCTATTCTTGAATGTGTATGTAATATAAAAGTAAGGTAAAATCTGGGGCAGAAAATTCTAAATTAAATGAACAAAGATGCAAAAAAAGGATAAGGTTGAAAGTAAGGAAAAGGTAGCTTTCTTTACTTCATATAAGGATAGAGTCAGATGATACTGTTTCACTCTTGACCCCAATCATTAGCGAAATGCTCTCAAAGAATGCTTTTAGGAAATCTTCCCCTGCCTCACATTGGGGATGGAACCCACAGGCACTCTATCACTGAGCTACAACCCTTTTTATTCTTACTTAGAGACAGGGTTTATATCTTCCAGATTACAAATTCTACATTAAGTGGATGGCAACCCAAGAATTACAATCCATCCACACAGCTGAGAGCAATGTCTACCTCCTTTAGATAAGTCAAAATGAAACATTTTACACTAAGCAGGGTCATTGTCCCATGCCAGTCTCAAGTTCCCATAGTAAATAAATCTTCACCCCTCAACAACCCTTAAGATAAAGGGATAAATGTCTGAGAGGTACGAATGGGATAGGAATTTGAGAATAAAGAAAAAGATACTGAGTCTCAAATGAAAAACCCATGAACCACTGAGATGCAAAAGTACCTGGGAACAATTGCCCACCCCCTGATCCACATGCCCTTGCCCACACCCTTGTAACACAGGATAAAGCTCAAGTCCAGGGAAAACTGGCATGATATTGTGTAGCTCCACCCTGCATCCACCTCTAGTGTTGGGGTCGTCACAGCGACCCCAACAACTATCTCTATAACACTGAGGCCACACACCACAGAGTTGCTCTCTCCCCCTTTGGAGAGAGCAAACATTCTCTCTTGAATATCTACTCCTTGCTTTACCCTAAAGGCATATCCTGGGACTTCCCTCATTCTCCCTTGAATATAGACCTACTTTCTTAAATAAACTGTTGTCTATGCCTTTATAAACAAATAAATGAATGAATAAACACATAAATGGCACTATTGTATTAGGTAATAGAGAAATTAACATAAAAACAATTGAAAAAAGTAAAACAAAACAATAACAGTGAATAAAACTCAGAAGGCATAAAAATCAAAGATGAAGATTTTGTCATTTCTAATAAATGTAAATGGGTTAAATTCTACTAAAAAACATGAGGTTAAAGTATTCGTATTGTTTACAAAAGACAGCTAAAAGAGCAAACTGATAAAAATGTTAAAAGGTAAAAGGATGGGTAATATTAATATTCAGCAGATAAAACAAAATTAATTAATATTACTTTATGTTTTTAAAATTTTAAATGAATGGTGAAGCTGAATCAGTGGCACACATCTGTAATCCCAGCAACTCAGAAGGCTAAGGTGGGAGGACCACAAATTTGCAGCCAGCCTCAGTCATTCTGATGCAGGACAGATAGGGCTGGATGTGGGAGACCAACCTTACATGTGACTGAGTCATACTCCCCGGCTGGGTGCTGAGGCGCTCAGTCACAGAAATGTGGCAGAGCTTTCCCCACCCTACTTGGGTTCTAGGGTGCATGGGTGTGTCTTGCTACAGCCCCATGGGTGAAGCTAGGCTCACCTGTTCGTTTGTAATATAACCCCTTGCCCTGTTTAGGATAGAATCTTCCATGGAAGTGCCTTGTGTGTGTCCCCTTCTCTTACTCTGCCCTTGGGTGTGGCCTACCCAGGTGTCAGTCAACTGCTGACAGTGGACATCATGAAGATAGACTCAGCCCCCTGAAATCTGACCCCTTGCCTCATTTAAATAGCTTTTCCTCAATAAAAGGGGTCGGTGCTTGCTCTTGCTCTCTCTCTTTCTGTAGACCCTTAAAGTCAGAGGAGCCGTCACAGTGACCCCAAAGAAAAAGGTATCTGTGTCTCTTGTGTGGTTATTTCGTGTAGCCCAGCCAGCCCAGTTTACCTGGAGAGAGAACAGAAACCCAGCAGCTGGATTCCCAAGGAACTTTCAAGAAGCAGGCTTAATTATGCTGCAGTGTTCCAGTGGGGCTGCTGCCAAAAATATCTATGGACCCAGAGTCTGGAAATTCTTTGACATTTATACTTAGGGGTTGGTTACATAACAGCGATTCTTTGTTCCATATTCTTAGATTGGACAGAGGTTTCACAAATTTCTACCAAGGAAAATAGAAAGGGAAAGCTTTTACAAAAAAAGAGGAAGCTTCAATCCACAATGAGTTCTCTGCAAAAATCCTGTTGATATTCTTTGTTTTGTTTTTGGTTTAACAATCTTGCTTACAAGGAGAGAAACTTGTTATGATTGTGGTAGGCGTCTTCAAGACTGCATTAATTTAGCAAGGTCCTCAGCTATTTAGTGAGATACTGTCTCAAAGAAGGGCTGGGATGTAGCTCAGGGCTAAAGCATCCCTGGATTCAATTCCCAATATCAAAATAAAAACAAACAAACAGAATACAGCAAAACAATTACACACCTAAGGGGAAAAATGAAACTAGATCCCTTCCTCTTTCTACATGCTAAAATGAATTTTTAGATGATTAAGACAAACCTCTTAAACTTGAAGAAAAAATATGGGAAATTTATCTTTTACACCAAGTACCACATGAAGAGTATCCTGATTCCAAAGATCTCCGAAAATGTGGCTTATGTGACAGCAAAGGATTTAAGCTGGCTGAAAAGAATCAGAAATTCTGGTGATGTGCAAAATTAGACCAACTAGTTGATTTTTATTCTTCCAGAAATAAGCTGAATTTTACTAAATGTTATGCAACAGTTACCAATATTTACATTCCCTATGCTTTTACTGGCAGTTTTGCTTATCTTCTGTAAGCAATCTCATGCACAAAATTTTCCAAGCGACTTACCTCTCTCCTCAATGCCCTAAATTTGATCAACTATCAAGTATAAACACATTAATGATTAGTTATTTCACGTTGTTTGTGAACTTTGGCCTAACTATAAGTTAGCAGACATTCTGCATTACTATATATTTTTGTCATTGCACAGCCATGATATATAGCAACATAACCTCAGATAAACCAGATCAGTAAGTGCTTCTGTACCAACAGCAAGCCTGAATACTTCACAGGTCATAATGTGGTAAGAAAAACAAGCATTGAGAGGAAGAGAGATAGAGAATAAATTTGACAATACTGAAGTTAGGAAGAGCAAAGAGAAACCAAAAATGCACATTAAGTATTGTTTAAAAATAAATGAGAGAGCTGGGAGTGGGGGGTTGCTCAGGGGTAAAGTACTTGCCTAATGTGTGAGTCCTGGGGTGGGGTGAGGGGGTGTGGTGGTGCGTGCCTGTAATCCCAGCAACACCGTAGGCTGAAACAGGACGATCAAAAGTTTGAGGCCAGACTTGGCAACTCAGTACGACCCTGTCTCAAAATAAAAAGGTCTGGGGATGCAGTCCAGTGCTTTTCTAGCATGTGCTAGGCCTGGGTTAATCTGTTTGCTAACCAATCAAATAATAAATGAGAAAAGACAACTCAAGATAAAATGAACAAGACATAGCAGGAAGTTTTATAGAAATACAAACATATAGACAAAAAATAAATGAAGACATGCCATGAACTAGGGAAAGGCAAATTAAGACCGATATAATTCTATATCCAAATAGATAAACTGGTAAAACCCAATATGGTTAGTACGGAAGCTCAAGAGGGTATGGATCAGTGGTAACAAGAGGGTATGGATCAGTGGTAATTCTTACACATTGTTTTTTTACGGTGTGAACTGGAAAAAAACTAATTCAGAAAACAATTTGGCTATCTTAAAAAGTTGAGCATTGTATACCTTATTGATGCCCGACAAACCCACACAACAAAAGCTTATACTTATGTACCTTAACACAAAAATGTTCAGTTGGGTGTGGTGTTGCTCACCTGTAATCCCAGCAACTCAGGAAGCTGAGGCAGGAGAATCATGAGTTGGAGGTCAGCCTGGGCAACTTAGCAAGACCCTGTCTCAAAAAATAAAAAGGGATGGGGGATAGCTCAGGGGTAGAATGCCCCTAGGTTCAATCCCCATTACTATAAGGGGCAAAAATCAAAACAAAAACAAACAAAAAAACAGTTCAACAGCAGCAATAACAACAACAAAAACTGCACATTATGCAAACAAACTTTAGATACAATCAGATAAACAAACTTTGGTATATTAATCCAATGGATCAGTACAATGCCATGAAAATGAATCAATTATTACAATACAAAACCACATGGATAAATTTTGGAAATATTTATGAAAAAAATTATTAGAAAACTATATTTAACTCATAAATACAATTAAACAATGTTATGTGTGACATTTATAATAAAATTACTCTTTATAAAAAAAATC